CACAAAACACTACAAATCTCTCATTGGTAATAAAGGCAAGAATTTTGTACACATTTAATTAATATGTCACCACCTGAAATGTAACATACATGCAGTATGAACACGGCAAAAACGGAAGCGAATACGTGAATTGTACTACTCGTGTAATTAATCTTTTACACACTTTGCTTGTTCCCGAATAGAGTAAAAAACTAATGGGGCGCTTTGTTCCAGCACATCAGTTTTTTTGTTAGCTTGCCCTCACTCATGATGTGCGTAAAAAGATCATCATCCAGCATGCAATAATTTTCTTTCGCAACTGATTTCACTGCACTTTAGATGAGCAAATTGCCCACATTTAAAGGACGCAAAAGACTCTTTTTTAAATTTGCGCTCAAGATCTTCCCTTTCCTGCCATTACTCTAGCATCCATCTCCTGGAGATAAGTGGCGTGCTCGGCATCATCTCATTTGTTTAATAAATATCGATATCGTTATGGTTAGCTCTCATCGTTAGAAAGTTTGTCTTTTGGACAATCTTTACATTGACGTTATCGCGGCAAGTGCTTTGTGCACCGCGCTCTGTTCTTTAAAAATTAATTTTCTGAAGATTAGGAATAATTAAAAAAGGTGGGATTAATATTCCTATTTACGAGTTAACCAATAAATACCTTATCAAGTCGTCTCTCTGCTATCATTTCAATCTCAGTAAACATTATTGTTTTTTAAATGTATCACAGATTTTCAAGCATCGGGTCGTGGTGGCACCGAACGTATTCTGTAAAATATTAAATTAAATTATTAAGGGTTAACGTAAAAAAATTACCAGCAGAACCTCCTACTAATCTTTCACACTTAAATCATTATCTATCTGGAAACCAGCGAAATAAGAGCCTTGAAGACCACTGAAACATGTTCTTGAATTTTAGTTCTAGACCTGGATCATGTATTAACCTTTTGGTCAGAAGCACGTAGCCATTTTGGTCGTTTGATGGGGCTGATGTTCATCGTGAGGGCAAAGTGCCATTTTGGCTTTTATGTAAGACCTTTTCAATCCATCGAAGAAGATAAGATTGCTCATCCACGGATAAATAAATTAATTTAGTGCAATAAACCGATCAAGTATTATAAGCGCTGGTTGCAGTTTTATTAGAGATCACCAAGTCCGATAATTAAACAATTTTTTTATAGTTCGGCTCAAATACAGCACTAATATCAATTAAAGAACTTACAGGTCTCAATGCCTTTAAGCCTTGATATGAATTCGATTCCAGGTGTTCCTTCTTTTCTTGGTCCTAGACCGACAATTTCCAATCGAAAGCCTGTTCACGAATAGATCTCCGTACAAGAAGACTAACTGATTATTTATAACTAAAACATAGGGAAAATGACCATCTGAGGTAGTTTCTGTCATTTGCATGAACTGTCCCTGAAAATCCACGGTCCTACCTACGAGATACTCCGCATCCTTCAAGCTGACATTCACGGTGCCATCACACCATTACTAACCTCGTTTTTAGATTGAATGGGTTTCTAGACCACACATTAAATACAAATTCTTCCTCTGTAAACCTATATTTTGCTTTTAGGATACTATTCACACATCATCAATTAGCGACTGATATCAAACACAGAACAGCCGCGTAATTTTTCAGTCTGAAAATTAGGGCGAGGCTATTTACACTTTGAATTTTGCTATTCTGTAGAGAAACGGCGTCAAACGGTTTATGAGCAACTAATTAGCTTAATAGTTAAAGCTAAATGGATTATGCTATACTCAGAAGGTCAGATGTGCAGAGATTTTGAACTTCCATTGACTAGATTTACTTCCCTGTATGTCACCCTTCACAATAGTTTTATGTGAATCGTATGGTGTAGTTGACCACACCGGGTTCAACAGCACATGCAGCAGGGGTCCGTTTTCTGTATTGATCAAACTAGGTCCGTTTACGATAAATTGAGACGTAGTAGTTACTTATATCCTTGATTTGTAAAATACCACCAATGTCATAAAACGGCATTACTACCCTTTACGGTTGAAGGAACGGTTGAAGTAACGGCTGACGACTTGTAGAGATTTTGGAAGATTAGTGATTGAGTGGACAGCTTAGTGAATAGTTTAGTGGATAGGAGCGATGGATAACAAGAAAAACTAGTCCATCATAGTGGCAAGAATCAATAACACCAACAAACAATGACACAATTCTTTTCTCACAACGCTACAGACTTCTTCTTCTCGACTACCACGAACGAACAGATGATGAGCCCGAACGGGTTGTCCGAGGACAACAACACGGCAAGGGATTTGCCGACTACCAGTTACACAAGGGCTGCGATGGAGCCTGCCGTGTTCGTACCTTTGCACGCTCACGCAAGGAGCGTGGACAACGATGCGTTGTAGAAAATTCTCGAGATGCTGACGGCATAGACGAGCTCATGAAGAGATAAAGCTGTCCCAGGCAAGGATTGACGAAGACGAGCGCATGCGTGGAGCATTGGACATCAAACTGTTAATCTCAATTTTTGGCGCGGACTTCGTGGGCAAGCTTGAACGTGACGCGCTCGACTGTTCGGAATTGCCAAGTCACCAAGCGCGCTTTTGTGTCGATCGACAGCGTGCACAGCGCGTACAGCAGCTGCCTGTTCAGATATTAGCGTGTTGACATCTGCCTCTGCCACATCGACAGAAATCACAATATGCGTCGATTTAATTTTTCTTCGCCAATCCAGTTTAGAAAGCCTGACGCGAGGCAGTGCAAGCCCGCAATTGCGAAGCTTGATAGGTTCGAAGTGTACGTCTGACTCGGGTCCGGTTTCTTTGATTGGGGCAAGACATTTTAAATACAAGTAGACATGGCTAAAGATTCGTGCCAATTTATGTGGACTGAGAACGTCAAGACCGATTTTCTTGGCCATACCTGACCTGTAACGGGGTGAATCGTTACATAACAATTTATAAGAAATTGTTAATAGAATATAACTATAAGAGTTATATTCTCAGAATATTGTCATAAGGACAATATTCGGTAGCACTTCCAAGTAGTTCCTAATTGGTTGATATAGGCCATTATATCAACCAACGAAGACGCGCCACGACAGACGCACGCAATGAGTGGTGAGCAGATAACTGATTTACACATTTGTATTTAGACATAGTTAGATGAAGATAAATAGTGATTTATTGCAGACATTAACTATTATAAATACAGTTCTACTTTTTACTCTAACCGAGTACTCGCTTCTTCTTACCGTCTTCCTCTGCACGTACGAGTGTACGTGAAGTTACGAGGCACCGCCTTATTCTGTTATCAGAATAAGTAGCTTGTACTGTCACCAGTACAAGCTTCAGGGTGCCCCGTTACACCTGGTAGCACTTCGTAGTCCGTCCAAGGACCGCGTTCACATCCAACATGAATATGTTGGATGATGAAGATGACCAAAGCTTTCACGCTACGCGTGACGGCTACTCCCATTTGAGCGATGTCGAATGGGATGCGGTTGAACGAATGGGTTCGACCATGGGCATCCATGCTGTTAGCGTCATGCTAGAGGCTCTCAATAGAGATGCCCAACATGCTACTATCGCCAAGTTCATTCAAAATGAACTTGACGCAGAACGCGAGAAAGTAGCCTTGCTTCACCAACAAGGTTCTCAACAAGCAGAGTTGTTGAGAGAACAAGGTGCTCAACAGTTTGAACTGTTGAGACAGCAGCAAGCTGCTGCTGGCGGGTCGATGCACTCGCGTCGACCCGAGACTTTGAAGATTGACATCTCAAAGTATAGGGGGGTCGAAGAAGACTCCCTCTTGAGATGGTTCGTCGAATTGGATGACGCCATAAGGGCGCGTCGCATCGACGACGGGGATATGCAAGTTGCATTTGCCCAGTCAAATCTGGCAGGACGTGCCAAGACTTGGGCACTGGGGCTCAAGCTGCACGACCCATATGCGTTTGGGTCGTTGGAAGTCTTCAAGTCGCGGCTCAGACAAACGTTTGAACCGCCTAGAGCTGAGTTCAGAGCTCGAACCGAACTCTTGAAGCTCAAGCAGGGTAAGCGTGATGTGCACGCTTACGCTCAACATATACGACATCTCACGAGTTGTATAAGTTCCAATCCGGTGGATGAACACACGTTGGTTTCGGTGTTCATGCAGGGTCTTGCGGATGGTCCCGTCAAGACTCACCTGTTCCGGCTTGAACTAGATTCACTAGAACAAGCCATTTCAATTGCGGAGCAGGAAGACTTCAGTCTGAGACAGGCTCGCGCCAGCTCGACATCATATCGTCAACCGAGACGATATGACAACGGAGGTCCAGAGCCGATGGAACTCTGTTATGTAGAGAGCGAGAAGGCTCGCTCTACAGGCTACAAGAAGTTGCAGAGATGCAACAGATGTCAAAAGACAGGACACTACGCTTACGAGTGTAGTGCCCCTCGTCCAGTGTCTCGCGACACTGGGCGTAGTGACCGTCCACCCATGAGAAAGGGGCAGGGACGAGGGTCCGCAGTTGGTGCAAAGACGCAACAACGGGATGGACCGTCAAAAAACGGACAGGATCAGTAGGTGCGGAGCACCCTACTGATCCAGCAACGTCAAGAGAATTTGTAGGCCTCTTGATGAAGGTTGCTCCCAACACACAGACATTGTGCGTTGCTGCTCTAGGTAATGAGATCTCACTCATTACCTTGAAACTCGAAGTGACGAATAAGTTGTCCCTTCGAGCTCTAGTCGATTGTGGGGCGTCCAACAATTTTGTGCGACGCCAATCGCTAGAAGATAGTCACTTTAAATTCAGTGAATGTGACACACCTCCTACGAGGATGACGGTACGTCTTGCGACAGGCGCATCCGTAACCAAATCATGAAGCGTATAGTGAAGATTCACTATACGCTAGAAGATACCCAATACGACGATGACTTTATCGTATTGGATTTGGATGACAAATTTGATGTCATCCTTGGAATACCGTGGCTCAGAAGGTACGAACCACGGGTAAACTGGCAACATCGGACAGTAACGATGCCTGCCGCTTGTTCATCAGATGGCCATCTGATGAACGTTTTGGAGCGTCCACAAGCGTGTGGATGTACTACGAGTGAGTGCGATGGCCTCACTTGTGGTACGGTCGTTAGTACGACTGCACAAAACCTTAGTGTACCAAACGGTTACACTTCGGAGCCAAGTTCCGGCGGCTGTGAGGAAACACAGGCTGCGCCGAAGGTCCACCACTCGAATAAGTCGGGTGGACTGGGACAAAGATGTATCCCTAGAGGGGAACATCTAGAAGAGAAACAATCGATCGCTCAGGTTAAGCGAAACGATAATCCTAGATCGACTGGAGAGTCTTTCGTAGAGGATCTCGCTGTGGTTGCGCAACCCCAGCTAGAGGAAGTAAAGGGAATAAGTCCCAAGATTACAAATACGGCGGAAATAAGTTCCCCGAAACCCGCGGGAATAAGTCCCCGGGAAGACGAAGGAATAAGTCCTTCGAAGCCTGAGGGAATAAGTCCCCAGGAAATGACAGAGACATTGAATGTCATAGTCAATAACGGATCATGTGTAGGCGCTTATACACTTGATCTGATTGCGCCTCCGAAGTTAATTTCGGAGATCACTCAGTTGCCAACGCTCGAACATAATAGGTTCTTGCGTGATCTGCGTAGTGGCAAAGTCAAGCAGATCTGCATACTCGTCGCTGACGACGAGTATGTAACCGACATAAGGTCAGCAACAGTGTTTACTGAGAACGAGAGAGTTCTCAGTAGTTCATCTATGGACGAGAGTGTCCTAGATGGAAAGACACGAATTGAGCGATATGAGTCCCAATCATGGGAATCGCTCAAGGAAAATCCTCTCTATGAAGATTTGGTTGAATTCAAGGATGTATTCCCTGAAACTGTTCCGTGCGAATTACCGAAGGATAAAGGTATTCGACACGAAGTCGAGCTTAAACCAGGCTCGAAGTACTGTGTCATGAAGCAGTGGCCACTGCCTCGTGAACAAGTACTTGCGATCGACAAGTTCTTTGCCGATCGTTTAGCAGCGGGCCATGTGAGGGAATCAACTTCCCCACATAGCTCTCCGACCTTCTGTGTGCGAAAAGCAACAGGAGGGTGGCGGATAGTGCACGCGTTTAACAAATTGAACGCTGCAACGGTACCGGCTCAGACGCCGATACCGAGGAAGGACGTAATCATTGATGGTATGTCAAAGAGTACCATCTTTTCGTCCATGGATTTGATGGATGGCTTCTATCAAATCCTAATGCGGGAACGGGATATACCCTATACCGCAGTTAGCACGCCTAGCGGCATGCTCTAGGAATGGCTAGTAATGCCACAAGGGCTCAGTAATGCCCCTGCCACGTTCAACAGATGTGTATCACATCTGTTGAGACCAGTACGAGAGTTCGCGCCGAGTTATTTCGATGACGTATTCATCCATAGTCGAGCTATGGATGGAAAGTCGGACGTTGAGGTTCACAGGTACCACGTCCGACAAGTTCTTACAATCATGCGAAAGCATCAATTGTATGCTAACCTCAAGAAGTGTATATTTGCAGCAAGCGAAATACCACTTCTTGGGTGCATCGTTGGTAAGAACGGTGTACGTCCTGATCCCGAAAAGATCAAGGCGATCACCGACTGGCCTGTGCCGGTCGATGTCAAAGGTCTTCGAAAATTCCTTGAGCTAGCGGCGTATTTGCATAAGTATTCACGCAATTACGCCGAGATGACTGTACACCTCTCTCGTTTGTTGAAAAAGAACGAGAGGTGGTTATGGAACGCTGAATGTCAACGCTCCTTTGAGGGTATCAAGCAGAGCTTGATACAATCCCCAGTCCTAGCAATAGCCGATCAGGACAGGCCATTTCATGTGGTCTGTGATGCCAGCGATTTCGCAATCGGCTGTGCATTAATGCAGTACGACCTTGAAGGCGTTGAACGCGTCGTCTGCTATCAGTCGCGTCAGCTGCAACCAGCTGAGCGGAACTATCCAGTGCATGACAAGGAACTCCTTGCCATGAAGTATGCACTCGCGAAGTTCAGAGTCTATCTATTAGGAGATAGACCCTTCGTTGTTTACACTGACCATGCGTCCTTACGCACGGCAGTGAACAGCCCGCACCTTTCACAACGAATGGCGCGGTGGTTGTCATTCTTTGCAGAATACAACTTTACGGTCGAGTACAAACCAGGACGACTTAATGTCGTCGCTGATGCACTCTCACGTCGTCCCGACTTTGAAACAGTCGCGAAACCCAACAGTGAGACAGTCACTGTTGCGGTTATGACGTCCTCAGTCCCATCTACAATGTTGTATGATGATGTGAGGCGGGCATACGCCCAAGATGGTGAGATAGTGAAGTTGTTGTCACATCTCTCCCAACCATCCCGAGAATCGTTGAAACGATTGTCGTCTGCGTATCGATCTGCATCAGATCGATACACTACTCGTAACGGTTTATTGCATTATACAGCCGTTTCTGGTGACACACCACGTGTTGTCATCCCAGATGATACTGATCTGCGTTTGCGGATCATGTTCGAGTATCACGATGCTCCTATAGGAGGACATCGTGGCCGAGAGAAAACATATCTCACGGTAAGTCGAGACTTTTACTGGCCCCGCCAGTATCAGTTTGTGCGAAAGTATGTTCGCGCATGCGAAGTCTGCCAACGAGTGAAGTCAAGTCCTTCACTGCGTGCACCTTTACAGCCTCTACCGGTTCCGGCTGAGTGCTGGGAATCCATCTCAATGGATTTCGTCTTCGGGTTACCCAAAGACGCACGCGGGAATACGGGTATTCTCGTATTTGTTGACAGATTCAGCAAAATGGTACACCTTGTGGCTGTACCAGAGACAATCACGGCAAGTGGCTGTGCTTGTGTCTTTATTGACACCATCTTCCGACTTCATGGGTTGCCCCGTGAACTCGTATCAGACAGAGATCCACGATTCACTGCTGATTTCTGGCGTTCCGTGTTCAAATCACTCGGAACGCGCTTGAAGATGTCAACATCTGATCATCCAGAGTCGGATGGTCAGACGGAACGTGCCAATCGTGTCCTTGAAGAGATACTTCGAGGATACGTACACTCCTTTAAGAGTTGGAGTGAGTTTTTGCTAATTGTAGAGTTTGCCATCAACAACTCGGTGCATGCGTCCACGACACATACACCGTTTTACGTGAATGGCTTGCGCCATCCGCGTGTACCCACCTTACTAGAGTATGAATCTAGTTTAAGGGGGGAGTTGGACTCGCTCAAACAAAAACCGATCTAAATCTTGCTCATCACCCGTCGACAATGGTGTCGACGTGATGGATGCCGATGTGGATGCGATCGATGTTGATGATAATGATGATGACGACGACGCTGGTATATTCAGCATCTCCAATGACTGCCACAGTGAGGAAGATGACGCCCTCACTGGTGAAGACAACGCCTTTTCAGCAGTGCACACAAAGCGCACTGCTGTTAATAAGGATGCAATAGCAGAGGAATTTCTGCTGACTCGCAAGGCGGTTATCTGCTTTGTTCAAGAGTCGATTGCAGATGCAATAAACATACAGAAGAGAAACGCAGACAAACATGGAAGAGCATGTGTTCTTTCATCTGATGAAGGAGACCTAGTTTTACTGTGTACAGTAAACTTACCTAAACACGCAGTGAAAAACGTGAGCAGCAGTAAATTACTGCCCAGGTACATCGGTCCATTTCGTGTGTTGCGCCGAATGGGCAACGCATACACGATTGAACTGCCCCGTAAGATGCGTACGCATCCTACGTTTTACGTTGGTCGTCTCCGCCCGTACTATCAGTACGAGCCCTTTTCGAGAGGCAGAAAATATCTCCGCGGTTAAGGGCCGAGACTGTTCTCGAGTGGTACCGTTTGTTTCAACGGGCCAGTCTGTTCGACTAGCAAAGCGACCTGTACACGCAGCTCAGCGATGTCTCGACGAGCTACAGCCAGCTCGTCACGAAGAGAAAGAGGCGAACGTTCGTTCTCAAGTTGCGCGAACGAAAACGCGGCACGATTGTCCGAACGATCGTGCGTAAGGGATATTGTCATTATCCCTTACAAGATCCTCAAGCCCATAACGCCGAGTCCGTTCGTGAGCCAGGTCATCTTGCAACTGTTCCGTTACACGGCTCAGCTCTTGAACATCGAGCTGATCCGACCCTCGAGCCGTATCAGGTGTTCCCGCCGAGCCTCGTGCCCAGCTAATTGTTGATGCCCTTGGTCTCGTCGAGCAGTACGACGAGACCTACCCGCTGCGGTTGAAGAAGGGCCATCGAAAAACAACCTCCTTGAACGCGAGTTCGGGGATTGCAAAGTGTCGATCTCTTCGGCCGTCTCGGAAGAGATGCGCGCCCTCCAGTAGGGACCATTAGGGAGGTAGGTCTTCCTAAGGGTACGGTTCGAGTTGTCCAGGCAACCTGGACACGAATCAACCCACGAGAGACAGGGTCACCCTGATTCTCTTGAAAGCCGGTGCAACTTATCGCGCCCCGACTGGGTTGCGTTTCTCAAACCTGGTGCGAGCTGCATCAAGTTTGCCGAGCCAGGCCTCACGGCCAATGCACTCGATGTTGTGGATGAGGGCGTTCCATCCTTGCACCAAGGCCTTTCCGTCTCGAACACGGCTACCATTGTACCACCGATGTTTGAAAAACACATCGGTAAAGAATTCTTCCTCAGCACGGATAGTTTCCGTGCTGGAGTCAGGTGGGCAGATCTTCCTGTGATCGAACAACAGATTCGATCCGGTTCGGTAGTCGTGCCTTCCAACGGGTCCCACTTTCTGGATGACAAAATCCACGGAGACTCCACTTGAGGAGCGTTGCGCAGGACATTTCGTTCCCTGGCCTCTTTTTGGTGCCAGCATGAGCACTGACACCAGTGATACCCCGATCCCTCAAACTACTTCGCTTGTGGTGATGTATAGGTGCACACCACCATCCCCACGAGTCATATCGTTGGATGGACTTGCGTGAGGCGAAGATTCGTCAGAATAAACACTCGATCCGAAGATCCCGGACATGACACCGCCGCGTTGACCAAAGCCAGTTATCCTGGCCCTTGCAGTGTCCGCCCCGGGTGATCCGGAGGCGTTAGCTGTCGCCTTCGAGTCGGATACATCTTCCGACTCGCCGGAATAGATGAGCTTAATCGCAGACTCGTCTTGATTACGATTCGAGGTACCCGCTGCAGACGCAACGGATGTGCCTGTCACACGCGGTGACTCACCACGTGGAGGATTCACGACAACAGGCGAAGAATCGCCTGCTGCTGAGGCGTAAGAGGCACTTTCCGCGACCGCACGCATGCTTGCAGCCGTCTTTCTTGCTGCTGCAGTAGCAACTCGCGTGGTTTTTGAAACCATGCGCTGGATTGGCAAATGAATGGGATTTTACCAACAAGTGGTCCCTTTCCCAGGGTGATCCAACGGTGGTCACCCTGTCCCAATCAATTTCAATTCAATCAACGGGCGATTGCTGGTTAAGGGGGGGGGAGATGTAACGGGGTAGCCCGTTCAACGATATTTACACCAAACGGCGCCAATAGAAATTTTGTCTAGCATGACAATATCCGACCAATATTATCCGAGATGGACCATCTTGAAGAAATTTTATCCCCTTTTGGATAATATTCATGTGCTACTCCAAGATTGGTTGATGTAAGACATACCACCCATAGATTACCACCAATCGCTGCTAGACGTGCGCAACGAGTAGTGAACAGGTTGTCGTCATACGACGACGTAGTTTAATGCAGTTAGATGAAGATTCAAGTTATATTGATAGCTTATCTGTACTAAACACAGTTCTCTTTTTACCTTTACTTGACCGAGTCGTTCAAGTAGATTAGCTTCCTCTGCACGTACTAGTGTACGTGAAATTTCGCGGCACCCCATAAAAGAGTGCTTCGTAAATGCCATAAATAGATCACCCACAACTTTTTGTGGTGTCTTGAGCTCTGCGAATAGGTGTAATTTCGTTTTCTTAAATAGAGCAGTTGAGGTCGGGCGACAGGACGGGGAAAGCGACAGGGACAATTAAATTGAATTACATAAAAATTTGTTGGGTCTAACCTGTTGGGTCTTTGCGCGTGACTCCGATCCAGCTATATAAGCAGTAGCTGGATCGGACCCACGGTCATAGCCCAGTGTTGACGGGACATCAGAAGACGATTTATCAACGTGCTAATGTGACGGTCACAATTGTGAGTGACACAGACGAGGACGACCCGAGGTTAATCAGGATAATCGGATACGTATATTTGGATTTTATAGAATATACTTTTCGGTTTCCCGATGTGCTGGAGTTTCCTCTAAGCGTGTTGTCAACCCTGCGTGATCGCGAGCCCGAAGGGTAGAGCTATTAGTATGTGTATGCAAGGTTAGATATCGAACTCACTTATCGTACCTATCTGTGTGTGTGTGTCTGTCTATAAATTATTCGGTTCTATTTACACTTAATCGTGCTAAATACGACCTATCGTGTTCTCCCTCATACGTCGATTCGCATAATAAGAGTCGCTTAATGGGTAGGTTAATATTGTGATGCGCGCACCAGGTTGGCTTATAATCGGTTATAGGTGAATGTAAGAACATTACCAAATGCTGGACGATCTTAAGCAAATACCGATCGCGTTATTACAGCCACATATACCAAGCTAATCTAGAAATTAGTTGGACCAAACTCATTTTCCAGTTAATGCTGCTGTTGAGATTTTAAATGCATCTTAATTTAGTTGTCTGAATTATATTACTTAAATTCGAAGGGCGAGGTTTAGAGCTCGCTCCCTTCTCGCATGTACTCCATAATTACGGCTTCATTAGATGCTTCGATGCAGCCGTTATATACCACTTCGCCTGGTTATTTATTCTTGCGACAGCTGGTACATACTGATTCTCACCTCAACCTCAGGATTCATTTGCGCAGCTAGATTTTGAACAGACGCAGTTAAAGTAAAGATGTTGACAGAGATCAGATCTAAAGCCACCAATGGTTGAAGCGCCTAAGGCGTCCTTTACACATCTGGTCGGAATATTCTCGAAAGGTGTCGACGCATCGTCAATGAAACTGAAATGAATTCTGCGGCCTCAGTGCATATTGTCCTAAAATTTAAGGCAGTGAGAGAGAGGTTCAGAGGGTACATTTACTTAGTGTTTCTAAGTACAAGACCTACTAAAAGACCTGAGCCAGGATATGAGCGATAATGTTCCTGGTGGCTGATCGATACCGACCCCCTGAAATAACGGGGACCCTCCAGGCTGTCGAGTAAACAGTTCAATACACGCATTTGATAGTCGCCCCTCGAATGGCTGTAGCTGCTGCTCGATGTTCTCGTTTCGCAAATGCCCGTAACTGTCGTATGCACGCTTCCCATTGTTGCTCTGTGCTGCTGTGACCGTATTGATCCGCTTCGCGAAACACCACTGTATTCCTGTCCGTCCACAATCGGGTGTGGCAAACCGTTGTGAGGATGTTCCGAACCCGTTGCCATTAGAGCTCGGCTCCGGGGGCATCATCGTCAAATCGGTCGACTAAAATAGCTTTCCGGTATCGGGATATCGCGGTAGCCTGCCGGTTTGCGCACGCTACCTTAAAGTGCCTCGTTCTCTGAAGTGTGGCCATTTCCCGTGTTCAATGGCTTACTACTTTGTTCCAAAGGGCATTTGCACAATAGCAGTCCAAAAAATTAAAATTTTAAGGAAGTGTAGCGACCACGCTGGACGAAAGGAGCATTTGCATCGATTTTGATTTTTTAATACGGCGCAATTGTCGGCCTGGCAGAAACCGTGGTGTGGAAAGCATGTAAGCTTTTTTCCTGCAGTCAACGTCGATGACGAATACTGCTCAGGATTGATATCAACTGAATGCATCTTATAAAGACGAGAGAGGAGGCTATAGTCCTTTTATTCGGACGGGCTACAAGTTCGTGAGAGAGGGTCAACAGCAAGGAGGCGTACTAGGGAACTTTACTTGAATTATTAGTGTTTGCCTGCGATCGAAAAATACAGTACTACGTGTCAGCTTTGACGAGGCCCTACCGGTTCTTTTTAAGTATGGCAAGTCCCCTCCTCAGGGATTGCTACTATCTATATAGTAGACGTCACATTGAACGAGTTGTAGACAAATGCATGAAACGCACATTTATAGTTGTTCTCGTGTGCTTCTAATATTCGTCTGTTCAAGCCAAAGACAATATAGCGAATAGAGAAGGCAAAACGTTCCGTTAAGATAGTAATAAATTCTCGCAAATGTGCTTGTCAAGAGACACCGTATAACTTTGTCACGACCAAGTACGTCTCCTCTGCGCATTTGCGTGTTCTGCGCGCTATTGTACGTATTTGCTTCGGACTTGTGCTCTCCCGCTGCGCTGCTAACACTAGCACCCTAGTTTTCGACAATGATATCACCAATTACCCCTGTCACTGTTTATTTTGAGCAAGTTGAAGACATAATTCTAAATCCGCCGCCATCATTTACGATTTGTTCTTTCTCTTTATTTCCATTCATTTTAATTACAGGAACGTACGATTACAGCTCCATTTTTTTACGGGCGGTCCTCGACGAAGTCTTGCGTCCATGTAATTTATGTCATGTAGTAACGTACGCTGCTTTACAAATTCTCCTCTGGGATTGTCCACACAGTAATTATCGCCAAAGAAGATGCAATGTTAGTGTCGCTCCTCGTGTTATCTTGCCGCAACAATTTCGACTCGTCATTCATGCGTCCAGTCACTCAATCCAGCCTTGTGCTCAAAAGACAGGGCACGCAAAGCTTGGGTGTAACGGGGTGACCCGTTGCATACTAGAATTCCAGAAATTGTTAATAGAATATAACTAAAATATAATAGTCGCACTCTCAGAATTTTGTCATAAGGACAATATTCTGCAGCACTTACGAGTTGTTCCTAATTGGTTGATATAGGCCATTATATCAACCAACGAAGACGCGCCACGACAGACGCACGCAATGAGTGGTCCACAGATAGTTGATTTACACATTAGCATTAAGACATAGTTAGATGAAGATAAATAGTGATTTATTTACAGACTTTAACTGTGATAAATACAGTTCTACTTTTTACTTTAACCAAGTACTCTCTTCTCCTTACCTTCCTCCTCTGCACGTACCAGTGTACGTGAGGTTTCGAGGCACCGCCTCATTCTGTCATCAGAATAAGTAGCTTGTACTGTCACCAGTACAAGCTTCAGGGTGCCCCGTTACACCTGGTAGCACTTCGTAGTCCGTCCAAGGACCATGTTCACATCTAACATGAATATGTTGGATGATGAAGATGACCAAAGCTTTCACGCTACGCGTGACGGCTATCCAATTTGAGCGATGTTGAATGGGGTGCGGTCGAACGAATGGGTTCGACCATGGGCATCCATGCTCTTAGCGTCATGCTAGAGGCTCTCAATAGAGATGCCCAACATGCTACTATCGCCAAGTTCATTCAAAATGAACTCGACGCCGAACGCGAGAAAGTAGCCTTGCTTCACCTACAAGGTTCTCAACAATCAGAGTTGTTGAGAGAACAGGGTGCTCAACAGTTTAAACTGTTGAGACAAAGATTACCATATTTTCGTCCATGGATCTGATGGGTGGCTTCTATCAAATGCTTCTGCGAGAACGAGACATACCCTTTACCGCAGTAAGCACGCCTAGCGGCATGCTCTGGGAATGGCCAGTAATGCCACAAGGGCTTAGTAATGCCCCTGCCACGTTCAACAGATGTGTATCACATCTGTTGAGACCAGTACGAGAATTCGCGCCGAGTTTTTTCGATGACGTATTCATCCATAGTCGAGCTATGGATGGAAAGTCGGACGTTGAGGTTCACAGGTACCACGTCCGACAGGTTCTTACAATCATGCGAAAGCATCAATTGTATGATAACCTCAAGAAGTGTATATTTGCATCAAGCGAAATACCACTTCTTGGGTGCATCGTTGGTAAGAACGGTGTACGTCCTGATCCCGAAAAGATCAAGGCGATCACCGACTGGCCTGTGCCAGTTGATTTTAAAGGTCTTCAAAAATTACTTGGGCTAGCGGCGTATTTGCACAAGCATTCACGCAATTACGCCGAGATGACTGTGCACCTCTCTCGTTTGTTGAAAAAGAACGAGAGGTGGTTATGTAACGCTGAATATCAGCGCTCCCATGTTGGTATCGTGCAGAGCTTGATACACTACCCAGTCCTAGCAATTGCCGATCAAGACAGGCCATTTCATGTGGTCTGTGATGCCAGCGATTTCGCAATCGGCTATGCATCAATGCAGTACGATCTTGAAGGCGTTGAACGCGTCGTCTGCTATCAGTCGCGTCAGCTGCAACCAGCTGAGCGGAACTATCCAGTGCATGACAAGGAACCCCTTGCCATGAAGTATGCACTCGCGAAGTTCAGAGGCTATCTATTAGGAGATAGACCCTTCATTGTTTATACCGACCATGCGTCATTACGCACGGCAGTGAACAGCCCGCACCTTTCACAACGAATGGCGCGGTGGTTGTCATTCTTTGCAGAATACAACTTTACGGTCGAGGACAAACCAGGACGACTTAATGTCGTCGCTGATGCACTCTCACGTCGTCCCGACTTTGAAACAGTCGCGAAACCCAACAGTGAGACAGTCACTGTTGCGGTTATGACGTCCTCAGTCCCATCTACAACGTTGTATGATGATGTGAGGCGGGCATACGCCCAAGATGGTGAAGTTGTTGACAAACCTCTCCCAACCATCTCGAGAATCTTTGAAACGATTGTCGCCTGCGTATCGATCTGCATCAGATCGATGCACTACTCGAAACGGGTTATTGCATTATACAGCCGTTTCTGGTGACACACCACGTGTTGTCATTCCAGATGATACTGATCTGCGTTTGCGGATCATGTTCGAGCATTACGATGCTCCTATAGGAGGACATCGTGGCCGGGAGAAAACAAATCTCGCGGTGAGTCGAGACTTTTACTGGCCCCGCCAGTATCAGTTTGTGCGCAAGTACGTTCGCGCATGCGAAGTTTGTCAACGAGTGAAGTCAAGTCCATCACCGCGTGCACCTTTACAGCCTCTACCGGTTCCGGCTGAGTGCTGGGAATCCATCTCAATGGATTTGTCTTCGGGTTACCCAAAGAAGCACGCGGGAATACGGGTATTCTCGTGTTTGTTGACAGATTCAGCAAAATGGTACACCTTGTGGCTGTACCAGAGTCAATCACGGCAAGTTGCTGTGCTTGTGTCTTTATCGACACCATCTTCCAACTTCATGGGTTGCCCCGTGAACTCGTATCAAACAGAGATCCAAGATTCACTGCTGATTTCTGGCGTTCCGTGTTCAAATCACTCGGAACGCGCTTGAAGATGTCTACATCTGATCATCCAGAGTCAGATGGTCAGACGAAACGCGCCAATCGTGTCCTCGAAGAGATACTTTAAGGATACGTACACTCCTTTAAGAGTTGAAGTGAGTTTTTGCTAATTGTAGAGTTTGCCATTAACAACTCGGTGCATGCGTCCACGACACATACACCGTTTTACGTGAATGACTTGCGCCATCCGCGTGTACCCACCTTACTAGAGTGTAACTCTGGTTTAAGGGGGGGAGGGACTCGCGCGAGCAAAAACCGATTTGGTTCACGCTCATCACGCTCTGACGATGAGGTCATTGCGTTTGATGCCGATATCGACAACATCGGTATCGAAGAAGATGATGCCAGTGAGAGTGCGGAAGCCCTCACTGAAGAAAAGGTTGATGTTGCTGCAGTGCACTCACAGCGCACTGAAGCTAACGAGTCACCAGATGAGTTCATACTGGCTCGTGGAACGGTAGTCCGTTTTGTGCAAGACTCCATCTCCGAAGCGGTGGATAAGCAAAAGCAAAACGCTGACAAGAATGGAAGGGCAAACACTCTTTTATTTAACAAAGGTGACTTAGTCCTACTGTCTATGGTTAATCTACCACAGCATGCAGTGACTAACTTGGGTAGCAGTAAACTACTACCCAAGTACATTGGCCCTTTTCGTATATTGCACCGCCTAGGCAATGCATACACGATCGAGTTGCCACGTAAGATGCGAACGCATCCCACGTTTTACGTTGGTCGGCTTAAGCCGTACCATCAGTACGCTGCTTCTTCCGATGAAGAACGCCCTTGCGCTCAAGCATCTCGCAGAGAGCCTTGTGCTCCCGATGGTGGACATCAACAAGGGTCTGAAGAGCAGTTATCTCATCCCGAGACCGATCAGCAATCCCACGAGCTACCCTTAGCTCGTCACGAAGAGATGTCAGAGATCTCTCGTTCTCGAGCTGAGCAAAGGCAAACTCAGCTCGATGCTTCGAGGCAGTGTCCGCCATTTGGAGACGCCTATTCCGCTCATGCTCGAGATCGTCGCGTAACCCTTGCGTTACGCGATCAAAGAAGCTCTCGGGAACACACCGATCCACATGATCGTGTGGAGAGCGTCTTTCCTCCTCCTCCACCTCCATTAGAGGACTCTCGCGGTGGCCAGCGCTATCTAGTTGAGCAGCTGTTGAACCACCGCGACGTGAACGGACGTCGGACGAGTTACCTCGTCCGGTGGCGCGGCTATTCCCCGTCCTGGGATTCTTGGGAGCCCCGCTCCCAATTGATGGTTGACGTACTGGGTCTGGTTGAGCAGTACGACACGGCACATCCTGTGCCGCAGAAGGACCGCCGGAGAAAGTCTTCCCGGCACGGTCGTAAAGGGATTTAAAGTTGTCAATCCCTTCGTACATCTCAGTAGAGACACGTACGCGCCACCACGGGCTAGTAAGGAGGTAAGCCTCCTTAGGTGCTCGTGCAGAGTTGTTCACACAACATGGGCACGGGTCTCCCCAAGAGAGGCAGGGTAATCCTTTCTCCCTTGACAGACGTTGCAGCTTGTAGCGTGCACCTGTCGGGGTTCGCTTTTCAAACTTATCACGAGCTTTGATAGGTTTGTCGTTCCAAGCGTCACGACCTACATCCTCGAGGTTAGGCGTTCCACGCTTGAAGCAGTGAGGGACCATCACGTTTGTGATTCCCACTGTACCATCGATGTCTGAAGAAAGCATCGATGAAGAATTCATGTTCAGCGCGATAGTTTTTCGCAATGGGATCAAGGTGATGGATCCTTGACGAATCGAACAACCGTGTTCGATAACGATCACTCGTCGTCGCCGACAAGTGATCCATGACTGATTTAGGAGGCATCCATGCCTTCTTTTCAGGAGCGGGACTCAGCACATTGCGGTCCCGCTCTTCCTGCGACGTGCCGACAGAAGTACTGGCACCTTGCTGTGAAGTGGTGTCCATAGGAGAACCGACACCACTGTTAGCGCCCGAGTCTCGCGATCTCGAGCGCCATCGCTTTGGCGATGGTTCATCTGATTCATCAGATGAACCAAGATGCTGCGACGCAAAGCATCGTCCATGCCACGCTTGGCAGGCGGCTTGGATTCGATCGCCGTCGATACGGATCCGTCTTCCGTATCAGGAGAGTACGAGACACCGAGCTCGTACTCTGTGAAGACATGAGAGTCTTCATGACGAGCGCCTGCATCACCAGGTGATACAGTCTGAGACGCTTAGAAACCGATGACACATCGGTTGCTGTGGTTTCTGCTTCGGCGTCCGCACAGAGACGTGCGGACGCGCTCTCGGCGGCCTTGCTCGCGCATCGCATGGGCTTGTTAACCATGCGATGAGATGTTGGGAAGTGGACTCGGACCAACAAGTGCAAACCCTGTCCCAAATGATTTGGGACTAGTATCCATTTAGTCGATCAGTCACTAAAGTGACTGATGGTAAAGGGGGGGGGTGATGTAACGGGGTGAATCGTTACATAACAATTTATCAGAAATTGTTAATAGAATATAACTATACGAGGTAGATTCTTAGAATATTGTCATAAAGACAAATATTCTGTAGCACTTACGAGTAGTTCCTAATTGGTTGATATAGGCCATTATATCAACCAACGAAGACGCGCCACGACAGACGCACGCAATGAGTGGTGAGCAGATAGTTGATTTACACATTTGTATTTAGACATAGTTAGATGAAGATACATAGTGATTTATTGCAGACATTAACTATGATAAATGCAGTTCTACGTTTTACTTTAACCAAGTACTCGCTTCTTCTTACCGTCTTCCTCTGCACGTACGAGTGTACGAGAAGTTCTGAGGCACCGCCTTATTCTGTCATCAGAATAAGTAGCTTGTACTGTCACCAGTACAAGCTTCAGGGTGCCCCGTTACACACAGGGGCTACGTAACACCCCCGCAACGTTTAACAGATGTGTTACAAACCTGTCTCGGTCGGTGCGCGATTTCGCACCGAGTTACTTCGAAGATGTCTTCTTCCATAGCTGGGCTATGGATGGAAAGACGGACGTGGAGGATCACAGAATTCACGTCCGGAAGGTTCTTACTCTACTGCGAGAGCATAAGTTGTTCGCGAGCCTCAAGAAGTGTCTACTTGCAGCAAACGAAAGACCACTTCTTGGCTGCACCGTGGGTAAGAACGGTGTACGCCCTGATCCGGAAAAGATTAAGGCGATTAGCGGATGGCCTGTGTCAGTTGACTTCAAGGGACTTCGAAAGTTTCTTGGCTTGGCGGCATACTTGCACAAATACTCGCGCAACCATGCCGAGATGACCGTACATCTCTCTCGTCTGCTAAAGAAAAACGAGAGGTGCTCATGGAGCGCTGAGTGTCAGCACTCCTTTGAATATATCAAGAAAAGCCTGGTGCATTCACCTGTGTTGGCGATTGCAGACCAGGATAGACCGTTTCACGTGGTCTGTGACGCCAGCGATTTTAAAATCGGCTGCTCGTTAATGCAGTACGACTCAGACAGTGTTGAGCGCGTCGTCATTTGTCAATCGCATCAGCTCCAAGAAGCTGACCTGAATACCCAGTGCATGACAAGGAACTCCTTGCCATGAAATATGCACTCGCGAAGTTCAGAGTCTATCTATTAGGAAATCGACCCTTCATCGTTTATACCGACCATGCGTCTTTACGCACGGTCGTAAACAGTCCACATCTCTCGCAACGAATGGCGAGGTGGCTGTCTTTCTTCGCGGAGTACAACTTCTCCGTCGAATAAAAACCAGGACGAATTAATGTCGTCGCTGATGCTCTTTCGCGTCGGCCCGATTTCGAGCCGACTGCTCAACACAACAGTAGGGGTGATCCCACTGTCGCGACGCTAACAGTGAGTGTTCCGTCGTCGAATCTGCTCGATGATGTGCGAAAAGTAAACACAGAAGACGAGTCTCTTCTGCGGTTGACGGATTACGTATCCAATCCATGCAGTCAAGCTTTGAAAAGCTTGTCGTCTCAATACCGCTCTTCAACCGAACGGTATTCTGTCCGTGATGGACTGCTGTACTATACAGCCGTCAACGGCGACAAACCTCATGTCGTCGCTCCAGCTCTTGATGATTTGCGATTGCTCATCATGTATGAGTGTCACGGTGTCCCAACAAGTAGACATCGCGGTAGAGAAAAGACTAACCTCATGGTGAGTCGTGACTTCTACTGGCCCCGCCAGTATGATTTTGTGCTTAAGTACATTCGCGCTTGAGAAGTTTGTCAACGGGTGAAGCCTAGTCCTTCATCCCGCGCACCCTTGCAGCCTCTTCCGATTCCGGCAGAGAGTTGGTAGTGTGTATCAATGGACTTCGTCTTTGGGTTTTCTAAAGACGTTCACAAGAATACTAGTATCCTTGTGTTTGTTGATCGGTTCAGCAAGTTGGTACATCTTGTTGCTGTACCGGAGTCAATCACAGCCCAGGGATATGCGCGTGTCTCTATCGACACTATCTTCCTACTTCACGTGTTACCTCGTGAACTCGTGTCCGATAGGGACCCCCGCTTTACGGCGAAGTTCTGGCAATTGTATTCCGTTCACTTGGAGCACGTTCGAAGATGTCAGCTTCCGACCATCCAGAAACAGATGATCAAACGGAACGCGTCAACCGCGTTCTCGAAGAGATACTTCGAGGGTATGTCCACTCGTTTTCGAGCTGGAGTGAGTTCTTGCCGATGGTGGAATTCGCCATTAACAACTTGGTGCATGCGTCGACAATGCATACACTGTTCTTCGTGAATGGCCTACGCCATCCACGTTTACCCGCCTTCTTAGAGTATGAATCTAGTTTAAGGGGGGAGTTGGACTCGCTCAAACAAAAACCGATCTAAATCTTGCTCATCACCCGTCGACAATGGTGTCGACGTGATGGATGCCGATGTGGATGCGATCGATGTTGATGATAATGATGATGACGACGACGCTGGTATATTCAGCATCTCCAATGACTGCCACAGTGAGGAAGATGACGCCCTCACTGGTGAAGACAACGCCTTTTCAGCAGTGCACACAAAGCGCACTGCTGTTAATAAGGATGCAATAGCAGAGGAATTTCTGCTGACTCGCAAGGCGGTTATCTGCTTTGTTCAAGAGTCGATTGCAGATGCAATAAACATACAGAAGAGAAACGCAGACAAACATGGAAGAGCATGTGTTCTTTCATCTGATGAAGGAGACCTAGTTTTACTGTGTACAGTAAACTTACCTAAACACGCAGTGAAAAACGTGAGCAGCAGTAAATTACTGCCCAGGTACATCGGTCCATTTCGTGTGTTGCGCCGAATGGGCAACGCATACACGATTGAACTGCCCCGTAAGATGCGTACGCATCCTACGTTTTACGTTGGTCGTCTCCGCCCGTACTATCAGTACGAGCCCTTTTCGAGAGGCAGAAAATATCTCCGCGGTTAAGGGCCGAGACTGTTCTCGAGTGGTACCGTTTGTTTCAACGGGCCAGTCTGTTCGACTAGCAAAGCGACCTGTACACGCAGCTCAGCGATGTCTCGACGAGCTACAGCCAGCTCGTCACGAAGAGAAAGAGGCGAACGTTCGTTCTCAAGTTGCGCGAACGAAAACGCGGCACGATTGTCCGAACGATCGTGCGTAAGGGATATTGTCATTATCCCTTACAAGATCCTCAAGCCCATAACGCCGAGTCCGTTCGTGAGCCAGGTCATCTTGCAACTGTTCCGTTACACGGCTCAGCTCTTGAACATCGAGCTGATCCGACCCTCGAGCCGTATCAGGTGTTCCCGCCGAGCCTCGTGCCCAGCTAATTGTTGATGCCCTTGGTCTCGTCGAGCAGTACGACGAGACCCACCCTCTGCGGTTGAAGAAGGGCCGTCGGAAAACGACCTCCTTGAACTTGAGTACAGGGATTGCAAAGTGTCGATCTCTTCGGCCGTCTCGGAAGAGATGCGCGCCCTCCAGTAGGGACCATTAGGGAGGTAGGTCTTCCTAAGGGTACGGTTCGAGTTGTCCAGGCAACCTGGACACGAATCAACCCACGAGAGACAGGGTCACCCTGATTCTCTTGAAAGCCGGTGCAACTTATCGCGCCCCGACTGGGTTGCGTTTCTCAAACCTGGTGCGAGCTGCATCAAGTTTGCCGAGCCAGGCCTCACGGCCAATGCACTCGATGTTGTGGATGAGGGCGTTCCATCCTTGCACCAAGGCCTTTCCGTCTCGAACACGGCTACCATTGTACCACCGATGTTTGAAAAACACATCGGTAAAGAATTCTTCCTCAGCACGGATAGTTTCCGTGCTGGAGTCAGGTGGGCAGATCTTCCTGTGATCGAACAACAGATTCGATCCGGTTCGGTAGTCGTGCCTTCCAACGGGTCCCACTTTCTGGATGACAAAATCCACGGAGACTCCACTTGAGGAGCGTTGCGCAGGACATTTCGTTCCCTGGCCTCTTTTTGGTGCCAGCATGAGCACTGACACCAGTGATACCCCGATCCCTCAAACTACTTCGCTTGTGGTGATGTATAGGTGCACACCACCATCCCCACGAGTCATATCGTTGGATGGACTTGCGTGAGGCGAAGATTCGTCAGAATAAACACTCGATCCGAAGATCCCGGACATGACACCGCCGCGTTGACCAAAGCCAGCTATCCTGGATCTTGCAGTGTCCGCCCCGGGTGATCCGGAGGCGTTAGCTGTCGCCTTCGAGTCGGATACATCTTCCGACTCGCCGGAATAGATGAGCTTAATCGCAGACTCGTCTTGATTACGATTCGAGGTACCCGCTGCAGACGCAACGGATGTGCCTGTCACACGCGGTGACTCACCACGTGGAGGATTCGCGACAACAGGCGAAGAATCGCCTGCTGCTGAGGCGTAAGAGGCACTTTCCGCGACCGCACGCATGCTTGCAGCCGTCTTTCTTGCTGCTGCAGTAGCAACTCGCGTGGTTTTTGAAACCATGCGCTGGATTGGCAAATGAATGGGATTTTACCAACAAGTGGTCCCTTTCCCAGAGTGATCCAACGGTGATCACCCTGTCCTAATCAATTTTAATTCAATCAACGGGCGATTGCTGGTTAAGAGGGGGGGTGATGTAACGGGGTAGCCCGTTATACGATATTTACACCGAACGGTGTCAATAGAAATTTTGTCTAGCTTGACAATATCCGACCAATATTATCCAAGATGGACCATCTTGAAGAAATTTTATCCCCTTTTGGATAATATTCATGTGCTACTCCAAGATTGGTTGATGTAAGACATACCACCCATAGATTACCACCAATCGCTGCTAGACGCGCGCAACGAGTGGTGAGCAGGTTGTCGTCATACGACGACGTAGTTATGTGTAGTTAAATAAAGATTAAAGTTATATTGATAGCTTAACTATATTAAAGACAGTTCTCTTTTTACCCGTACTTGACCAATCGTTCAAGTAGATTAGTTTCCTCTGCACGTACTAACTAGTGTAAGTGAAGTTTCGTGGCTTTCAAATGAAGGGTGCCCCGTTACTCCTTTACCCTGCGGGAACGAATCATTTACTGCCGCGAGTCCGACGCGCAGACGTACAACACTCTCCAATACTTTTTCAGCACTTCATTCGTCGTAATTTTCTACGTCTTTGGCAGCAGTGTCCTTCTCACTATCGTCTTCTTCCTTACCCTCTGCATCTGGTCCTACATAACGGCTTTGCTCTTTTGGCTTAAAATCTCCCTATTAATGCTCATGCAGACGAGCCTGGGCCAGCTTCTCATCATATTGCTGTCTAGTGGCGAAGTCGTTGCCGTAATGGGAGTCCTCATTAACGTCATGTTCCTGCTATTTGCTGGGTTCTACCCATCTGCTGCTGCTATCCCGGACCAGTACCGATGGCTCTATGACGTCCTCCACAGCGCTATTCCTTCTCGATCCTCTTCTCGCTCGTGTTGGCAACTGTTTTAAAGAATCGGTGTATGATGCGGTTACGAAGGGGTTCATTAACGTGCGGTCGGAACTCGCTTGTTAACCCATATGGAATGCACCGCCGTCGATGTGTTTCACGACAGTCAAGCATACCTGAACGTCAACCTAAAGTAGAATGTTGCTACATGTAGACTGAATCTTGCTACGTCTTAAAAAAGGGCACCCTTTGTTTGGGGTGGCGCGAAACTTTACGTACCCTTGTACGTGATGAGGAAGCCAATTTACTCAACGCTTAGGTTAAGTAAAAGGTTAAAAGAGAAATGTCTTTAATATAGTTAAGCTATCAATATAACTTTAATCTTTATTTAACTACATATAACTACGTCGTCGTATGACGACAACCTGCTCACCACTCGTTGCGCGCGTCTAGCAGCGATTGGTGGTAATCTATGGGTGGTATGTCTTACATCAACCAATCTTGGAGTAGCACATGAATATTATCCAAAAGGGGATAAAATTTCTTCAAGATGGTCCATCTTGGATAATATTGGTCGGATATTGTCAAGCTGGACAATATTTTTATTGACACCATTTGGTGTAAATATCGTATAACGGGCTACCCCGTTACATCACCCCCCCTCTTAACCAGCAATCGCCCGTTGATTGAATTAAAATTGATTAGGACAGGGTGATCACCGTTGGATCACTCTGGGAAAGGGACCACTTGTTGGTAAAATCCCATTCATTTGCCAATCCAGCGCATGGTTTCAAAAACCACGCGAGTTGCTACTGCAGCAGCAAGAAAGACGGCTGCAAGCATGCGTGCGGTCGCGAAAAGTGCCTCTTACGCCTCAGCAGCAGGCGATTCTTCGCCTGTTGTCGTGAATCCTCCACGTGGTGAGTCACCGCGTGTGACAGGCACATCCGTTGCGTCTGCAGCGGGTACCTCGAATCGTAATCAAGACGAGTCTGCGATTAAGCTCATCTATTCCGGCGAGTCGGAAGATGTATCCGACTCGAAGGCGACAGCTAACGCCTCCGGATCACCCGGGGCGGACACTGCAAGGGCCAGGATAACTGGCTTTGGTCAACGCGGCGGTGTCATGTCCGGGATCTTCGGATCGAGTGTTTATTCTGACGAATCTTCGCCTCACGCAAGTCCATCCAACGATATGACTCGTGGGGATGGTGGTGTGCACCTATACATCACCACAAGCGAAGTAGTTTGAGGGATCGGGGTATCACTGGTGTCAGTGCTCATGCTGGCACCAAAAGAGGCCAGGGAACGAAATGTCCTGCGCAACGCTCCTCAAGTGGAGTCTCCGTGGATTTTGTCATCCAGAAAGTGGGACCCGTTGGAAGGCACGACTACCGAACCGGATCGAATCTGTTGTTCGATCACAGGAAGATCTGCCCACCTGACTCCAGCACGGAAACTATCCGTGCTGAGGAAGAATTCTTTACCGATGTGTTTTTCAAACATCGGTGGTACAATGGTAGCCGTGTTCGAGACGGAAAGGCCTTGGTGCAAGGATGGAACGCCCTCATCCACAACATCGAGTGCATTGGCCGTGAGGCCTGGCTCGGCAAACTTGATGCAGCTCGCACCAGGTTTGAGAAACGCAACCCAGTCGGGGCGCGATAAGTTGCACCGGCTTTCAAGAGAATCAGGGTGACCCTGTCTCTCGTGGGTTGATTCGTGTCCAGGTTGCCTGGACAACTCGAACCGTACCCTTAGGAAGACCTACCTCCCTAATGGTCCCTACTGGAGGGCGCGCATCTCTTCCGAGACGGCCGAAGAGATCGACACTTTGCAATCCCCGAACTCGCGTTCAAGGAGGTTGTTTTTCGATGGCCCTTCTTCAACCGCAGCGGGTAGGTCTCGTCGTACTGCTCGACGAGACCAAGGGCATCAACAATTAGCTGGGCACGAGGCTCGGCGGGAACACCTGATACGGCTCGAGGGTCGGATCAGCTCGATGTTCAAGAGCTGAGCCGTGTAACGGAACAGTTGCAAGATGACCTGGCTCACGAACGGACTCGGCGTTATGGGCTTGAGGATCTTGTAAGGGATAATGACAATATCCCTTACGCACGATCGTTCGGACAATCGTGCCGCGTTTTCGTTCGCGCAACTTGAGAACGAACGTTCGCCTCTTTCTCTTCGTGACGAGCTGGCTGTAGCTCGTCGAGACATCGCTGAGCTGCGTGTACAGGTCGCTTTGCTAGTCGAACAGACTGGCCCGTTGAAACAAACGGTACCACTCGAGAACAGTCTCGGCCCTTAACCGCGGAGATATTTTCTGCCTCTCGAAAAGGGCTCGTACTGATAGTACGGGCGGAGACGACCAACGTAAAACGTAGGATGCGTACGCATCTTACGGGGCAGTTCAATCGTGTATGCGTTGCCCATTCGGCGCAACACACGAAATGGACCGATGTACCTGGGCAGTAATTTACTGCTGCTCACGTTTTTCACTGCGTGTTTAGGTAAGTTTACTGTACACAGTAAAACTAGGTCTCCTTCATCAGATGAAAGAACACATGCTCTTCCATGTTTGTCTGCGTTTCTCTTCTGTATGTTTATTGCATCTGCAATCGACTCTTGAACAAAGCAGATAACCGCCTTGCGAGTCAGCAGAAATTCCTCTGCTATTGCATCCTTATTAACAGCAGTGCGCTTTGTGTGCACTGCTGAAAAGGCGTTGTCTTCACCAGTGAGGGCGTCATCTTCCTCACTGTGGCAGTCATTGGAGATGCTGAATATACCAGCGTCGTCGTCATCATCATTATCATCAACATCGATCGCATCCACATCGGCATCCATCACGTCGACACCATTGTCGACGGGTGATGAGCAAGATTTAGATCGGTTTTTGTTTGAGCGAGTCCAACTCCCCCTTAAACTAGATTCATACTCTAAGAAGGCGGGTAAACGTGGATGGCGTAGGCCATTCACGAAGAACAGTGTATGCATTGTCGACGCATGCACCAAGTTGTTAATGGCGAATTCCACCATCGGCAAGAACTCACTCCAGCTCGAAAACGAGTGGACATACCCTCGAAGTATCTCTTCGAGAACGCGGTTGACGCGTTCCGTTTGATCATCTGTTTCTGGATGGTCGGAAGCTGACATCTTCGAACGTGCTCCAAGTGAACGGAATACAATTGCCAGAACTTCGCCGTAAAGCGGGGGTCCCTATCGGACACGAGTTCACGAGGTAACACGTGAAGTAGGAAGATAGTGTCGATAGAGACACGCGCATATCCCTGGGCTGTGATTGACTCCGGTACAGCAACAAGATGTACCAACTTGCTGAACCGATCAACAAACACAAGGATACTAGTATTCTTGTGAACGTCTTTAGAAAACCCAAAGACGAAGTCCATTGATACACACTACCAACTCTCTGCCGGAATCGGAAGAGGCTGCAAGGTGCGCGGGATGAAGGACTAGGCTTCACCCGTTGACAAACTTCTCAAGCGCGAATGTACTTAAGCACAAAATCATACTGGCGGGGCCAGTAGAAGTCACGACTCACCATGAGGTTAGTCTTTTCTCTACCGCGATGTCTACTTGTTGGGACACCGTGACACTCATACATGATGAGCAATCGCAAATCATCAAGAGCTGGAGCGACGACATGAGGTTTGTCGCCGTTGACGGCTGTATAGTACAGCAGTCCATCACGGACAGAATACCGTTCGGTTGAAGAGCGGTATTGAGACGACAAGCTTTTCAAAGCTTGACTGCATGGATTGGATACGTAATCCGTCAACCGCAGAAGAGACTCGTCTTCTGTGTTTACTTTTCGCACATCATCGAGCAGATTCGACGACGGAACACTCACTGTTAGCGTCGCGACAGTGGGATCACCCCTACTGTTGTGTTGAGCAGTCGGCTCGAAATCGGGCCGACGCGAAAGAGCATCAGCGACGACATTAATTCGTCCTGGTTTTTATTCGACGGAGAAGTTGTACTCCGCGAAGAAAGACAGCCACCTCGCCATTCGTTGCGAGAGATGTGGACTGTTTACGACCGTGCGTAAAGACGCATGGTCGGTATAAACGATGAAGGGTCGATTTCCTAATAGATAGACTCTGAACTTCGCGAGTGCATATTTCATGGCAAGGAGTTCCTTGTCATGCACTGGGTATTCAGGTCAGCTTCTTGGAGCTGATGCGATTGACAAATGACGACGCGCTCAACACTGTCTGAGTCGTACTGCATTAACGAGCAGCCGATTTTAAAATCGCTGGCGTCACAGACCACGTGAAACGGTCTATCCTGGTCTGCAATCGCCAACACAGGTGAATGCACCAGGCTTTTCTTGATATATTCAAAGGAGTGCTGACACTCAGCGCTCCATGAGCACCTCTCGTTTTTCTTTAGCAGACGAGAGAGATGTACGGTCATCTCGGCATGGTTGCGCGAGTATTTGTGCAAGTATGCCGCCAAGCCAAGAAACTTTCGAAGTCCCTTGAAGTCAACTGACACAGGCCATCCGCTAATCGCCTTAATCTTTTCCGGATCAGGGCGTACACCGTTCTTACCCACGGTGCAGCCAAGAAGTGGTCTTTCGTTTGCTGCAAGTAGACACTTCTTGAGGCTCGCGAACAACTTATGCTCTCGCAGTAGAGTAAGAACCTTCCGGACGTGAATTCTGTGATCCTCCACGTCCGTCTTTCCATCCATAGCCCAGCTATGGAAGAAGACATCTTCGAAGTAACTCGGTGCGAAATCGCGCACCGACCGAGACAGGTTTGTAACACATCTGTTAAACGTTGCGGGGGTGTTACGTAGCCCCTGTGTGTAACGGGGCACCCTGAAGCTTGTACTGGTGACAGTACAAGCTACTTATTCTGATGACAGAATAAGGCGGTGCCTCAGAACTTCTCGTACACTCGTACGTGCAGAGGAAGACGGTAAGAAGAAGCGAGTACTTGGTTAAAGTAAAACGTAGAACTGCATTTATCATAGTTAATGTCTGCAATAAATCACTATGTATCTTCATCTAACTATGTCTAAATACAAATGTGTAAATCAACTATCTGCTCACCACTCATTGCGTGCGTCTGTCGTGGCGCGTCTTCGTTGGTTGATATAATGGCCTATATCAACCAATTAGGAACTACTCGTAAGTGCTACAGAATATTTGTCTTTATGACAATATTCTAAGAATCTACCTCGTATAGTTATATTCTATTAACAATTTCTGATAAATTGTTATGTAACGATTCACCCCGTTACATCACCCCCCCCCTTTACCATCAGTCACTTTAGTGACTGATCGACTAAATGGATACTAGTCCCAAATCATTTGGGACAGGGTTTGCACTTGTTGGTCCGAGTCCACTTCCCAACATCTCATCGCATGGTTAACAAGCCCATGCGATGCGCGAGCAAAGGCCGCCGAGAGCGCGTCCGCACGTCTCTGTGCGGACGCCGAAGCAGAAACCACAGCAACCGATGTGTCATCGGTTTCTAAGCGTCTCAGCCTGTATCACCTGGTGATGCAGGCGCTCGTCATGAAGACTCTCATGTCTTCACAGAGTACGAGCTCGGTGTCTCGTACTCTCCTGATACGGATGACGGATCCGTATCGACGGCGATCGAATCCAAGCCGCCTGCCAAGCGTGGCATGGACGATGCTTTGCGTCGCAGCATCTCCGGTTCATCTGATGAATCAGATGAACCATCGCCAAAGCGATGGTGCTCGAGATCGCGAGACTCGGGCGCTAACAGTGGTGTCGGTTCTCCTATGGACACCACTTCACAGCAAGGTGCCAGTACTTCTGTCGGCACGTCGCAGGAAGAGCGGGACCGCAATGTGCTGCGTCCCGCTCCTGAAAAGAAGGCATGGATGCCTCCTAAATCAGTCATGGATCACTTGTCGGCGACGACGAGTGATCGTTATCGAACACGGTTGTTCGATTCGTCAAGGATCCATCACCTTGATCCCATTGCGAAAAACTATCGCGCTGAACATGAATTCTTCATCGATGCTTTCTTCAGACATCGATGGTACAGTGGGAATCACAAACGTGATGGTCCCTCACTGCTTCAAGCGTGGAACGCCTACATCCATAACCTCGAGGATGTAGGTCGTGACGCTTGGAACGACAAACTTATCATAGCTCGTGATAAGTTTGAAAAGCGAACCCCGACAGGTGCCCGCTACAAGCTGCATCGTCTGTCAAGGGAGAAAGGATTACCCTGCCTCTCTTG